ACCCCCCGCGGCCGCCCCCAGCCCCGGGCCTGCAGCCTCCGACGCGGTGCCCACCCGCCCCACCCCCACCAAGCCAGAGAGAAGAAAGAAAGAAAAAACCGAGCCCCACGAAACTTTGCAACTGTCCGAGCAACAGGCACGGACCCTACTACATACCCAGATGCGGGGGAGTTTTCAAGATCCTTCTTCGGGGGAATTTCTAGGAGGAACCGGGCGAAAGTCCCCGACTTTCCATGCTGACAGGCGTCTGCAGACGGTCTGTTGCTCTTGTAATGAGATCCTGATTTTTTCCCCTTTTTTTTCTTTCTCTCGCTCCTCTTTTTTTTTTTTTCCTCTGGTGTGTGTGAGAGCAGGAAGTTGGAGCAGTCAGGCCGAGCCGGCTCACTTCCTTTACTGCATTATTCCCCAGGCGGTGTGCAGTCTGTGTAAACAGGCTTTTCCGCCCCGCGCCGCGCGCCCCGGCCGCGGCTGTGCGCCGGGGCTGGCCGCCGAGGCCCGCGCATACTCCGCCGCCTGGGGCCCCGCACCGCGCCCCCGCCCGCCGCGCTCCACGCTTCCTGCTCGGCCACCCCCGGGGAGGAGCCTCCGGACCCCGGGCGACTCCGCGTGGCCGCAGCCCCTCCCCACGGGGGGGCGGGCAGCTCGGCCAGAAACGCAGAGAAGCCGCCCCCGGCGCAACGAGGGGCTGAGCTTGGGTTGTGGCGAGACGGGGTAGCCCTCTTCTCCCCCGCAGGGGTCCCTGTGCTGGGGACCGCGCTGGGCCCAGCAGTGGGGTCTTGCCCTGCTCGGTCGGTCGGTCTGGGCGGGGAGGCCCGAAGTGGGGAGGCCGCTGGACTCGCTGTTTTCTGTCAGCTGGGATGGAAGAGTTGTAGGGCCAGGGGGCATCGGGAGTGGGGCCCCGGTGCTCTGGGCCAAGGGCTGCTTTGCTAGTGGGTGGGGGTGTGATTGCTTAGGATGAGAAGATGTTGCATGTGCAGAAAAGGAGGCACGGGTTTTGTCAGGGGATGGACACAGTTCCTGTCTGGGATTTAAAAAAAAAAAAAAAAAAAAAAAGCCAGCGCTCAGAGTAGGGGGCCCACTTTGGGGAAAAGGATGAGAAGCCGTAAACTGGAAGCCAGGATTCTCCAGGAAGAGCCCTTTCTGGCCGTTCGCTATGGCCCCGCCACAGGCCCAACCTTTCCTGCCTGCTAAGGGACTCCGGAGCGAAATGAGCAGCGGCCACGGAGCCGAGTGACTGAGGCTTCCGAGGGAGGCTCCGTGGTCTCAAAACTGGACTCCACACCACACTATCCCTCAAGGACCGCCCACCCCGAAGGGCTCAGGCCAGGCTCTGACGGGAGGGCTAGTCCACTGCCCTGAGGCTTAGAGGAGGGAGGAGGGTGCCGGTGGAAGAGTCCCTCATCCCAGCCCTGTGCGCCAGCCCCAACTGCTCCCCTTTTGGACCCCTCCATTCCCATACCTCCGCCCCTTAGCAGCGCAGACCAGCGGCTCCCAAACTTGAGCGTGCACCAGCATCACGTGGGGGGCTTGTTAAAACACAGGTTTTAACCTCACCGCCAGCGTTCCTGATTCAATACGTTGAGGGTGGTTCTTAGCCCTGGCTAAAGTTAGGGTCACCTGGGGAGTGTTTTGAAAACTATTGATCTCTATACACATCCCAAACCAATTAAGTCAGCTTCCCTGGGAGCCGGGGGCGTGAGTGCTTTCCAAAGGACGGCATTCTAGGAGCTCCTCCACTTTTATTTGTTTCTTATTTCTGCAACCTTTCTGATTATTTGTTTACGAATCTCTCACTAATTACTAACTGTGGGCCTCTAGGGGCAGGGTTGTATTTTACTCTAGTTAGTACCAGGTCAGGGCACCTGACTCATAGGACAGTCCAGTTGGCAGCATTTGCTTTGGGGCTGGCATGGATAGTTCAGTGAGAAGTGAGACAAGGCCCACCAGACCTCTGAGGAGGGTGGGAAAACATGAGGTGTGGGGGGCTGGGGGAAAGGTAGGGGAGTAGAGAAGAACGAGACGATATGGGGGAGAGGGCTGTTTATCAATCCCTGATTTTCCACAGCTAATTTCACACTTTAGGGATTATTGTTTTAATCCCTAGTGGGCTTATCCTGTCACACAGCAGAGCTCACTCTGTGTCCCTGTATGATCCAGCTGTGGACTGGGAGAATGTAAACTTATTTTATTTTCCTTCTCAGGGAGAAAATATCTCACACATACAATTCAGAACACTGTGTTGCTTTATCTAAAAAGCGTATACCAAAGCCAAGCATATCTTAAACCAGTGACTTTCATGATTTTTATTGTACATCTTCACAGCAAATCTTTGTTGAATCCTAATATGTGAGAGAAAAGGTGTACATGTTTTCATCAGGCTTTAATTGTTCTGAAGAAATGCCTCTTTGTCTAAGGCACCCCTGAAACACTCATGGGCAGCCTTGGCGTTTCCCAGACCAAATGAAGACCTCCTTAAGTTTTCCTGGTGTTTTAGGTTGTCCATACCACTATGCCAAGCTCTTTGTTAGAATGAATAACCCAGAGCTGACACTGCTCTTCCCCAAGGCACGGGGAACAAATTTCACTTGTAGGTGTCCACAGCTTCTGTATCTTGCATAAGACAGCTTCTGCTGTCTTTGCTCAGGCTGCTATAATAAATGCCTTAGACTGGGTGGCTTAAACAACAGATATTTATTTCTCACAGTTCTGGAGGCTGGGAAGTCTAAGATAAAGGTGCCAGCAGATTTGGTTCTCAGTGAGGGCCCTCTTCCTGGCTTGTAAAGGGCCGCCTCTTGCTGTGTCCCCACATGGTCTTTCCTCCATACACACATGTGGAAGGAGAAAGAGAGAGGAAGCAAACTTTTTGGTGTCTCTTTTCATAAAGGGCACTAATCCCATCATGGGAGCTCCACCCTCAGGACCTCAACTAAACCTAATTATCTCCCAAAGGCCCAGCTTCTTAATACCATCACATTGGGGGTTAGGGTTTTAACATGAATTTAGTGGAGACGTTAACATTCAGTTCATAACTGTCTGCTATTTGTTTTTTGTGCTTTCCTTCTCACTATCAAAAAGTAGCCAAGAGATGTGGCATTTAGTATTGTGTGATCCACACTATTTTTATGCTTCTGTTATAAAACAGATAGGAGTTAGGATTATATGGGTTATGAGTAAAATTTCTTCAGGAATCCTTTATAGCAGGTGACAGGATCATTCATTTCTGCTAGCCAAGAGAGAATGAGGCTCTCTCAGCTTTGATAAGAACAGCAGACCAGAGATTGGAGTTAGTCAGTGTGATGTGTTGGAGGGTGCTTGGGGCAGGATGGAGGAGGATCAGCTCAAATAAACCCTACAGATGAAGAGTGGAGGTGGGGGCTGAGTCTCCTGAAGAAAATCAAAACCCTGGTTCCAAAAGAAGGGGTGTATTAGTCAGCTTTTGCTAGTATAATACTGTGTAACAAACAACCCCAACACTCACTGGCTTGCTTAAACAACAAATGGGTCTTGGTTGGCTGGGTTCATGTTTGCTTCACATGTTTTTCTCATTCTGGGACCCAAGCTGAAGGAACGGGCTCAATATGGGACACGTGGATTTCTGGAAGGGCAGGAGCTCCAGAGAAGTGAGTGGAGACACATGGAGCCTCTCAAAACCTCTGCTTAGGACTAGCACACCCTCATGTCAACTCACAACCCAGTGGGGAAAGCAAGTCATATGGCCAAGACTAAAGTCAATGGGACAGGGAGAAGGAAAAGGAGGGAAAAAGGGAGAATTCTGAACAAATAATATAATCTACCACAAGAGAAAACGGATGTTGGGTATACAAAAACAACAAATCTCTTTGTTCCCTCATAATTTAACATTCCATAATGTATAACAGAATGGGATGCTGTGGATGGTTTAAAAAAATACAGATGGATGAGGAAGTATAATTAGATAGGACAGGAAAAAAATGAGTTTTAGAATATATCAAACTAAAATATTTTAGAACACAGCAGAACAAATAATATATGAAACGTATGAATTGATGGTATTAAACTTATGAATTGATGAATTTTGGTAGAAACTCAAAAGCGGTTTGCCTCAGTACTTTGGAGACTGCCTCAGTGTTGAGGGGGATGCGGGTAGGAATTGGGAATAGACAGCCAAAGCCTGATGGGAAGGCAGCCCACTCAGGTGGCAAGTATACATTTGGAATCAGGAATTTGGGGATCTAGTCCCATACTGACTTCTTCTAGCTCTGTGACCTTGACTAAGTCACTCACCCTCTCTGAGCCTACATGAACAATCAGTTTTTACTGATTTTTACAGTGAATACCAATTTTACATTAAAACAACATGTGTTATGGACTAGGATTCAAAAAATTTCATGAACCTCATTTGAAAGAGTATTTAAAATAATTTTATAGACTTGCAGGAAGACCCCACTGGGAGTCTGCATTCTTCCTTTTGCATTGTTAGAGATCTTTCAGTGGGGACATTTGAGAAGCGTTGATTTGAACCATCTTTTTTGCCCTCAGACTGGTCATCGATAGGCCAGAGGTTGGCAAACTGCAGGCCCACCTCCCGTTTCTATGACTTTCAAGGTAAGAATTAACTTTTTTCTTGTTAAAAAAATGTTTAACTGTGGTAAAAATCATAACATAAAATTTACCATCTTAATTGTTTTTAAGTGTTCAGTACAGTAGGGTGTTAAGTATATTCACATTGTGGTGCTACTGATCCGTAGAATCTTTTCAAAAGTTTCAAAACTGAAACTCTCTACCCATTAAATACAATGCTCCCTTCTCTCTTACCCCAGACCCTGGAAACCACCATTCTACTTTCTGTTTCTATGAATTTGACTACTTTAGGTACCTCGTATAAGTGGGATTATATACAGTATTTATCGTTTTTGTGACTGGTTTATTTCACTTAGCATAATGTCAAAAGTTCATCCATGGTGCATCATGTGACAGGAGTTCCTTCCTTTTCAAGGCTGAATAATATTCCATTGTGTTTATACACCACATTTTTTTTTTTTTAACCATTCATCAGTTGATGGACATTTGGGTTGTTTCTACCCCCTGGCTCTAGTGAACAATAAGAATTTACATGTTTAAGCAGTTGAAAACAAATCAAAGGAAGAATAATATTTTGTAATATGTAAAAATTATATGAAATTCAAATTTCAGTGTCCATAAATAAAGCTTTGCTGGAACAGAGCCATGCTCACTCACGTGTTACCCAACACTGCTTTTGCGCTACAGTGGCAGAGCTGAATAGTTGTGACAAAGACTGTTATGGTCTATAAAGCTGAAAATATTTACTTTCTGACTCTTTACAGAAAAAGTTTGTCATCCCCTGGCATAGGCCATTTGAGACAAATGAGATTCTGCCCCGTTTTTTGGTTTGGGTTTAACTGCATTTTCTTTTCGATTCTGAGGAAGGCCTTTCCTTGCCATATG